TGGAGATGGGTACGTAATAGTAAACCCGCACCCGCCCTGCTAGATGAAAATTAGTCTCATACCCACTAATATTCGCGCGGGTATTCTTTAAGCGGGTATTCATGAATTTCTTAAATATTCACGAATATTCATGAATTTTTCTTAAATAACTTAAAATACATCAATCTCACAAGTAAGTTAAAGTCTTATCACAAAGTTATAATAATTCAATCTCATAATTCCAAATGAAAGTAAACAACTTAAAATACATAAATTTTATTAGTCCAATCAAAGCTAGAAAATTAATCAAATTACATCCAACATAATTCTATTACATGCTTAATACATGTTGGTAACTTCATCAACCTCACTTTTGTAAGAAAATAAGATGAGAGAGTGTAGTTTTAGGGTTATGTGGTACAAGGATAATTAGGATATTTAAGAAATATTATTAAACGGGTACCCGCGGGTATGAATATTATCATACACTCCCCCGCCCTGTTTATAAACGGGTAAAAAATTATCCGTCCTCATTATCCGTGAGTACCCAATTAGTCTATCTATTTATTATCCGTAGCGGACTTTACCCTTAGATACCCGCGAGTGCGGGTATTTTTGTCATCCCTAATTTATAGGTCCTTTTCTTATTTGAATTTAGGATCTCACATCCATGTTCTCATTAACTATTTTTAACATTTGAAATTTATTAGCAAGTGAATTATGTTAGATGTTATTTTTACTTGAATTTTCATGAATATTATTATGTAAAATGACATGTTTTCACCCTTTTCCTTATAAATTATCTCAAGAATGTGAATATTTTATTTAGTTATATATTAATCATAAAAAGATTCAATCCATTCAAATTATAGTAATTTTTGGTTAATTATGGTGATTTTCTGTACGATAGGAGGAGAGAAATCAAGACAAAAATAGAAGAGAAATAAATTGAAGTTGGAGAAGATTCATAAAAGAAAAAAGTTGTTTATTTTCACCAACCCAAAAAAACTTAACTAAATCAAAAAGGCTTAAGCCATTTTAGAAAATTGGGAAATTACATTCTACTTAAAAAAGGCTTATGTCATTTCATAAAAATAAAAAATTGTTATCTTCTAAAAAGGAAAAGAAGATTTTAAGTCATTTTTGAAAGGCCTAAGTCATCCACCAGTAAGTTTTACTTAGAGGTGTTTAAATGAAGAATTTAAGTAGAGTAATTCATTTTTTTTTGCAAATTCACTTAGAGTGTTTTTAAATGAAGAATTTAAATAGAGTAATTCATTTTTTTTTAAAAAAATTAAATACCTTGAAATGAGTTACTTTGTTTGGATAGATAATTTATAAAGAATTTGAAATTCAAACATTTATAAAATTTCTTAAAATAGTAAACTTTCAAATTCTCCCCAAAAAGTAAGAATTTAAAATTCTTACTATTTTTTATTTTTTTTTATCTCATCTATATATCTTTTTTTATCTCTCTCCTATCTCTTAATTATTGAATATTCAAAAATACTTTTTAATTATTAAATATTATCCAATTTTAAATTTTAAAATTATTAAATATTTAAAATTAGCTAATATTTATTTTCATAAAATTTAATCTTAAAATCTAAAAATAAAAATAAAAATAATATCTATATATATATATAATCAATTTACCCATAGTGAAATTCAAATTAATTACCATATCCAAACAAAGAATTTAAAATTTAAATTGTATTATATCCAAACAAAACATTTAAAGAATGATGAAAATTGAAATCAAAATAATTTAAATTCTAAGAAATTTAAATTCCTTGAATTTCTAAAATTCCTTATCCAAACACACCATAAAGATATTTTAGAAGGACTTAAGCAAATTTACTTTCTTCATGTTAAAGTATTTTAAAAGGGTTAAAATTAACTATTCTACATATTGGCTTAAGCCAATTTGTGATAACAAATTATCCCTTGTTACAAATCAAAACATATTTAAAAAGAAAAAAGGAGATATCTTACCAATCACTCTCTCTTTCTCTAATCTTGAAGATCATCCAAGTTGAAAATTTTGGTGACAATTTTGAGGGTTCGAGAATAGAATTGACAATTTCTACTAGATTCTTTTTCTTCTCTTTTACTAGTTGGCTCTCGTAGAAATGTGTTACTAACCTTCTTTTGTTTTTTTGGAATTGAATGTAACCTATTGTATTTCATGTGACTTTTGATCTTTATATATGTTATGATTTCTTCGTTATGTTGTGGTTTCATTTTCATTCTTAAAGCATTTACGTTTTAATCATTCGGAAATTGATTTTAGATTTGAAATCCGATTTAAAAATATTTCCTAAGGCTTGAAGTGAACTGTGCCAACTAATCTAAGTTGCCAAGAACAAAACATAGATTTGTATTTAAAATGGATAATTGTTGTTTTAAATCATCTACAAATGTTTCGCATCGTGAACTTTATACTTGATATGTTTAGTTCGAAATCTTATTTAAACTTGTAATATGATTAAAAAATATATATAAGTCAATTTTATGAGGTTAAGATATATTTAAAATCCAAATTTTAGAATTTATGTTAGAACTTTACCATCTTAACGTTAATTACAGTAACTTTTAGATTATGTTTGAGAGTTAGGTTTTTAGAGGAAAAGAGGGGAATGAAAAATATTTATTTTTTAAAATAAATATTCTATCTAATGTTAAAAAAATTGTATGATGAATGGATTGCTAAAAAACTTGATTTAATTTCTATTGTTGATTAACTATGTTATATTTTTTAGGTATTCAAATCCTAACTTGATGAAAATTATTTTCAGGAAACCTAAGCCTTTTATCAAATTTGCTCATAGATGAATATTTGTTACCATAATAAAAGTTTTAGGTTTTCACTTGATTTTCCTAACATTTTATAACTGGGCGTTACATTTCTGGGCAACTATTTCCGTTTGTCATTTGAATATATTGTGTGGTTCTTTTTGTTGTTAATTAACTCTATCTCTTGAACCTCTTCGCTAACCATTTTTAATATGTGGTATCTTTTTACTCCTCAATTTGTATTTGGAGCAAGATTTTTTTTAATATACAACTCATTGGACTATATATATATATATATATATATATATATATGTATATATATATATTATATGTCAAATGAGATTTAATAGAACTCAGTATGTAATTTTTTTATATTATAGTGGAAACGTGTAAACCAGAGAAAAGTTACATAAGTACTTAACATTGATAAATGTATTTGGACAATGTGTGTCTGGTCATACCCAAGTAATTAGTCTTAGTCTTTCCACGTTTCGAATGTGTGTGCAGCCGTACATAGATTGGGACTATTCAGATGGGGTGCTAGTTTTCATTCACAAAAATAATTGCATTGAAAATCTATCGTTGAATTAGTGATCCTGTTAAAGATATAATAATTTTATAGGTTTTCAGTTAATAGTTCACCTTTTAAGAAAGTTAATTTATCTCAATACCATGATAAACCTATCTTCTTGCTGTTGTAGCTGTTGGGTTCACATCATGACTAATCATGTATTATTTCTTAATTTCTATTATAGTATTCTTTTCACATCTGAACTTGCCTAACTGGTGTGAATACAATCAAATGCCAAATTAAATATTGTATCCATTCTGTAAAATTATGAGTTATTTTGTACACGTGTTCAGTGATATTCTTCGCAAAATTTCCAAACGAACAATTTCAACAAAATGTTTCAATTTCTTATTTTACTATGTTCAACTCTATGTATTCTCCTATCAATAGAGTACATTAAATGTACAGAAATGACTATAACAGAGTTTCTGTTATTCGTATTAATAGCTACTCTAGGAAGAATATTTTTATGCGACGTTAACGATTTAATAACTATCTCTAGAATGCTTCAGTTTATGCTCCTATCTACTATCTAGATATACCAATTACTAATTTTTTTGCTATATTATTATGCTCTTCGAGAGATAAATAATTATATTGATGAAAAATTCAAATATTATTATTCTAAGCAGATTGGGCTTTTTGATTATTTTTTTCCCTTGATAATGCCTTTAAGTGATTTTAAAGGTATTTGCTGAGGATTCAAATATAAATTATATTGATTTTTGGAGGAAGCATTAGATTTTTTTTTTATATATAAAAATCATATATTAAACGTTGTATTTTTCTTGCATCTTTTGTTTCTAAGTCAATAAAAAATACAAAATAATAGAGGACAAGCAGTTCACTGATAGATAAACTCTTCCTAATCCCAAATACAGGCACACAAAACGTGATCTTATTAGAATGTTGAATTCACAATTAAATATATAGCACCGGATATCTATCGTGAGAGGAAATTATGACATCTCATATTAATTTTTAATATGATATGATATGGCCATATTTAAATATATATCAATCTCTTTCTTCTTATTTAATATTTGTTTTTGGACTATTTAATATTTGTTTTTTTTACACCAAAAATATTATTAAATAAGAAGAAAGAGATTGATATATAAATATGCTCATATCATTATAATATTTATTGAAGACAGATAATTATTATTAAATTTAAACTTTATCATTATATAAATGATTTATTTTCTTATTATACTATAAATACTAAGTATTTATTGAATAGCTAACATTTAGTGGTGTCTTTCAATAACTTTATTTTTGTCAATCACAATGGAAGAACATGATATTTTACTTAAGTCATTATTTCTTAAATTATTGCTCATAATAATTAAGAATCCTCGCTGAATCTATACACAAATTTTGCAAAACAAAACTTAAATGGGTGAATACTTGTCTTTTTTCAGTTTATACAAGATGTGAACCCAACATGGTTTTTTCAAGTCCTAAACAGAAAAGCCCAGCTATAGACCCAATTTGTATGGGCTTGTGAATTTGGGCTGCCAAGCCCAATTATACGGCTCAGTTATCAGCGTGGCTCATTGGGCTGAAGCTGAAGCCGAAGCCGAACAAGTTCACCGTGAATTTGTAACCAAAGACACGAAACAACAACGATGGCTCAAGATAAGGATTTAAAGCCTCGCCATTCATTTCCCTCCTTCCACTTCCACCCTCATCTATCATCATTCATCCATACCCATTTCGTGTTTCACCACAAAGACTTCATTTTCACACTCTTCTTTCCAAAACTTCCAAGGCCAAAATTTCTGTGTTATGCACTTTTCAAGCTTCCTAGGTACAAATTCTGCTTCAGACTATGATGGGTCAATGTTGTTTTCTCTGTGCTTCCTCGTATCATTGTGTGGATTTTACAGTACTCTGTTGAATTTGCTTAATTGAACTTTGGACTCACTTCTTACTGTTGCAAAATCTCCTCGGAGCATTCTTTTTCCACGCCATGCTTGAAATTGAAACAAAATATGCTCCTTTGCAGCATAATCACTAAGCTAATTTTGTTAATTTTGCAAAAGGACTCGTGGGGTTTCATTGTCTTGCCAATATGTGCACGTGTAGTGTGTATTTTTTTCGGTTCAATTTGTAAGATTGATATTCATTTTAGGCTCTTGTATAGTTTGTGAGGAAGGGGTTTCAAATTGTATTTACTTGTAGTAATTTTAACAAGTAGTGATATGTGGTATCATGTAATGTAATGTTGCTTGTTACATACTGATGGAAATGCCAATTTTGATAGGCCGATAATTTGTGGTTTTCTTATTTCAAAACTAACATTGAAGACATAAGGAGACGACTGAACTTGTTACAGTGTTGGATTAACAACATCAGTTATTGAAATTTAACAACTCAATGGTTTTTGGATTTTGAACAAGGTGAAATAGTTGTAGTTGGAGCTTTGAATACTTCTAACTCTTAATATCATGTATGAAACTTTTAGCAGTCCTGTTGTGGAGTGGGATAAACAATTTTAAGAAAAAAACTAGGATCTTTTTGTCTTTGATTTAATAAAACAATTTTTGTTTCTATTTTCTGTTTTTCTTCATTAATAATTATAAAAATGCTACTTTGTTTCACGTTTTCAAACATTTGTATAGGAAATGGTGAAATTTTGGTGTTGTTTTCCCTATTTGGTGTACAAATTTTTGAAAATAGGAAATAAATTGAAAACATGACATTTTTTTTTATACTTATTAGTGAAAGTAGGAAATGAATATAGAAAACATTTTTTCAAACCAAACAGACTTTTATATCATCAAAAACTGCATTTGTGTTGTTGATTACCTTACTACACTGAATGGAGATATACAAATCTCCTAGCATTTGTCATGTAGCCTTGATTCATTGACTGTTTTTGTTGCAGTAGAATTAAAATGGTTTAGTTATCATGAAGTCATTTCGGCTGCAATATAGCCATTGTCTTTATTTACTCATGGTTTGTAGATAATGTGATTATGCTTGATGTTTTTGTGAGCACTGATGCTGATATATGAAACAAGTTATGTAGTGTGATTCATGTATTTGTAGAATTTTGCTGGCTGAACAAATTAAGTGACTTCTGTCCAACACTGTCATCATTTTATATCGTCATAGAGTAGCCACCTAGGTATTAAACTTGTTACCTAAGTTCTTGCTGATGTTCATATCCTTTGAATGTTTTTATGAAGGTGACAAGGATGAACTAATTCTGGAGTAGAACTTAAGTTTTACATTTCAAGCCAACATGAATCCTGTAATACTATGCTCTATTGGCAATGTTTCAATCATTCCTGGAATTGCCTGTTCAACAAGGAAGAATAGCACTTCAACAAGACTCAGCTTGTCAAGGAGCACTGTAAAACCTGCATCATCAACTAGGAGATTTCTATTACCTTCATTTGTTGCCAGTGGAGTGTTTCCACAAAACAAAAGGTTATGCTCGTTTCATAAGAAGTCTAGAACCTCCATATCCGCCACAGAAACAGATGTAGCAGTGGAGGAACCAGGTCCACCTGTTGCAGATGAAGATTCTGGAGAAATTGCTTCAAATGAAGTTGGAATAAGTGAAGATTCATCTTCTAAGTCAGATGCCAACCCTGATCCTGCTAGAGCCAAACGTTCAAGACCTGCAAGGAAAAGTGAGATGCCTCCAGTAAAGAATGAGGATTTGATTCCTGGGGCAACTTTTACTGGGAAAGTAAAATCTATCCAACCATTTGGTGCCTTTGTTGATTTTGGAGCTTTCACTGATGGGCTTGTTCATATTTCAATGTTGAGTGATAGCTTTGTTAAGGATGTTGAAAGTGTTGTTTCTGTAGGCCAAGAAGTGAAGGTGAAGCTGATTGAAGTGAATACTGAAACTCAGCGTATTTCACTCTCTATGCGTGAAAATGCTGACACTGGAAAGCAACGAAAAGATGTGCCCACCAGGACAGAGAAACCTGGACCAGGGAGGAGAAACACTTCAAAACCCGGTCCAAAGAAAGATAATGTGAAAAGCACAAAATTTGTCATAGGGCAGGACCTTGTTGGTTCAGTGAAGAATATGACTAGGAGTGGTGCTTTTATATCTCTTCCAGAAGGGGAGGAAGGATTTCTACCTGTATCTGAGGAACCCGACGATGGATTTGGGAATGTTATGGGAAACACTTCGCTGGAGGTTGGTCAAGAAGTTAATGTACGAGTTCTGCGTATCACAAGAGGACAAGTGACATTGACTATGAAGAAGGAGGAAGATACTACAGATTTGGACTCAACATTTAACCAAGGGGTTGTCCATGTTGCAACAAACCCTTTTGTGTTGGCTTTTCGCAAGAATAAAGATATTGCTTCTTTCTTGGATGAGAGGGACAAAACTCAGGGTGAAGTTCAAAAACCATCAACTGAAAGGATTTTGGAAGAAATTAAGGGTACTGTCAAGCAAGGGGAAACTGTATTGAATGTTCCTGATGTGCAGGGAGAACCAGAAAGCAGCAAGGAGTTGACAGATGATGTTCCCTCTGCAGTAAAACAGAATGCTGAAGATGAAATTTCTAAAAATGAGGAAGATGTGGGAACCAGTGCAGTGAATGGCTCCTCAACAGCTGCGGTGGATGAGGAAAGTAATCTGATCAGTAATGTTTTGAGCCCAACACCAGGTATCAATAGTGCCATTGAGAAGGAAACAGAGGTACCTTCTGGAAGTTTGACTCCTGAAGAAGATTTATCTACTGTAAATCCAATAATTGAGGAAGCTACTCAGACAGATGTCACAATAAATGATTTGAAAACTGACTCACCTGTTGAAATAGCTAATGAAAGTGTAATAGAAAGTGGAGTTGACCAAATTGAGGAAGCTACTCAGACAGATGTCCCAGTGAATGATTTGAAAATTGACTCGCCTGTTGAAACAGCTAATGAAAATGTAATAGAAAGTGGAGTTGACCAAATTGAGGAAGCTACTCAGACAGATGTCCCAGTGAATGATTTGAAAATTGACTCGCCTGTTGAAACAGCTAATGAAAATGTAATAGAAAGTGGAGTTGATCAAATTGTTGAGGAAGACGACAAACAATCACAAACTCCTAATGCGATAGAAGAATTTGCTGCTGCAGTGCTAACAGACAGTGATGTGGTTGAATCTAGCGCTGAAAAAAAAGATACTATTGCAGGATCAGATATTGCATCTAGTGCACCAGCTCCCCAAGAAACTGCAGGTTCTGTTTAGTCTATCTCTCATTCTCTCTGCTATATCTGTCTATTTTTCTTTCTAATTTATATTTACATATAGAAATACAGACTGTAAGTCTAAAATCAAACATATTTTGTGCAATTAGATGCATGTACAAGAGCTTTCCAATTAATTTATTATTTATCAAATAATATTTCCTTTGCAACACAAGCAGATGATGATGTTGGAGCTATTCCCGAGAACAAAGACAGTGATACTAGTTTGAGTGGACATAGGGGCGAGTTGTCTCCTGAGGGAAGCTTGAATAAAGGTTATGCTTAAATTTCTTTTGAATTCATATTTGCCTGGTTCATTTAGGCTAATGAATGAGAATTGCTTGCAAGTTTCTCAAAATTGATGTTCATATGTTACATGATATTGCATATTTGCATCCCTTTCATTTCTAATGTGATCCCAATCATATAGTTTTATGTAACTGAAACAATTGACCTCAATATAATTGCCTTGCCTTATCTCGCAAGAGTCCCCCCCTCCCCCTTCTTTTTTCTGTCTACTGTTATAAAAGGAGTGTTCTTAAACTGTTAATCCGATGTCAACAGATGCAACAGAAGAAAATGACGAAGTTCCTTCTCCTGAAAGTTCTGCCACTGAAGTAGTAAATACATCCTTTGTTGATCCCGAAAAAGAAGTGCAAAAAGAAACTCCTACCACACAGAATGAAAATTCTTTTACTTCACAAGTTGAAGATAAAGAGGTTACGGTTACATCCGAAGAAAATAGCAGTTTATCTAAATCTGTTGGACAAACTGGCGCTACTTCAGGAGGAGACACGAGTAAAGGTCTAAATTTCAGTTGATTTTAATCTTATTATATTTAACATTTTAGTTATTATTTTTAAATGTCAGGGTGCATAGTTTCTGTATTTATGTAGTTTAACTATGCATTACATAATGTTGATACTTGTTGTTTTCCATGTTTTTATAGTATTTATATGAGTTTGCTATATTGCCACTGGATCCAATTTGGAGTTGGACTAACTAATGCAGGGCACTGCAATTCCAAGTTGATCTATGGCATTGTCTTTGGGGATTAAATCGTGACAAATGTTACTGGCAATACTCTAGTTCATTGATATTTTGTGGTTTTCCACCCTCTTTTTTTTCTTCTTTTTTTTTTTGCATTCTTACATAGGATTTCTAATAGTTAAATATCTGTCCCTATTTTTTTTCTGGATTGCAGCAACTATATCACCAGCACTTGTGAAGCAACTTCGGGAAGAAACAGGAGCTGGAATGATGGACTGCAAAAAAGCTCTATCAGAGACTGGTGGGGACATTATCAAAGCACAAGAGTACCTTAGGAAAAAAGGCTTATCAAGTGCAGAAAAGAAAGCAAGCAGGGTAACTGCTGAAGGAAGGATAGGTTCTTACATTCATGACAGCAGGATCGGTGTTTTGGTAGAAGTAAACTGTGAGACAGATTTTGTCTCCCGCGGCGAAATCTTTAAAGAGCTTGTTGATGATATAGCCATGCAAGTCGCTGCATGCCCTCAAGTAGAGTATCTTGTTACTGAAGATGTTCCCAAGGAAATTGTGAACAAAGAAAAGGAGATAGAAATGCAGAAAGAAGATCTTTTGTCAAAACCAGAACAGATAAGATCAAAGATTGTTGAAGGGCGGATAAACAAAAGACTCGAGGAGCTGGCATTGCTTGAGCAGCCCTACATAAAGAACGATAAGGTAGCAGTAAAGGACTTGGTCAAGCAAACTATTGCTACTATTGGAGAAAATATTAAAGTTAAGAGATTTGTGCGATTCAACCTTGGAGAGGGTTTAGAGAAGAAAAGCCAGGATTTTGCTGCCGAAGTAGCTGCACAAACTGCAGCAAAACCAGTGCCTAGTCCAGCAAAAGAGCAACCTGCTGTTGCAGAAGCCAAGGAGACTGAGCCAAAGTAAGCAGTTCTATGGATTCTAATTTATGATCAAGTAATTAAATTGTTAAATTTAGGCGATTACTTACTGGAATGTGCATATTTAAGATTCAGAAACAGGAGCTATATTTGGTATATTTAACATGTTTAATATTACATTTTCTAGCAAGTGTAGACCGCAACCTTCACTGCACACATGCACATACACATACTGTGTTTGTATTATTCTTAAAATAGGTGAAAGTTAAACTAAGGTATTGGGTTACTGGCATGTGTGAAACTCAGTTCTACATAATTACACTAGAATTCACATAATCGAGTCTTGAGAAGACATTAATGTCTTTGCAAATCTTAAATTGTTCAACATTCTGCTGCAGGCAATCAACTGTAGCAGTCTCAGCCTCATTGGTTAAGCAATTGAGGGAAGAAACTGGAGCAGGGATGATGGACTGTAAGAAAGCTCTAGCTGAAACTGGAGGGGATCTGGAGAAGGCCCAAGAATACCTCAGAAAGAAGGGTCTTTCAAGTGCTGACAAGAAATCCAGTAGGCTAGCAGCTGAAGGCAGAATTGGTTCATACATTCATGATTCGCGCATTGGCGTTCTAATTGAAGTGAACTGCGAAACTGACTTCGTAGGCAGAGGCGAGAAATTCAAGGAGTTGGTTGATGATCTTGCAATGCAAGTTGTGGCCTGTCCACAGGTGCAGTTTGTATCCATTGAAGATATTCCTGAGACTATTGTGAACAAAGAAAAGGAACTTGAGATGCAGAGAGAGGACCTTCTTTCCAAACCAGAGAACATCAGAGAAAAAATTGTTGAGGGAAGGATCTCAAAGAGGCTTGGGGAGCTTGCACTTCTAGAGCAGCCTTTTATTAAGGATGACAGTGTTTTGGTGAAAGACTTGGTGAAGCAAACTGTAGCTGCACTCGGAGAGAACATTAAAGTGCGGCGATTTGTTCGGTTTACGCTCGGGGAGACAGCTGAACAAGAAACAACAGTAGTACCAGCATAACTTTAGGATAAGTGACATAAAAGCAAGAATGGTTACTGGGGAATCAACATACATGTTACAGAAGCATATGGATGAGTATGGAGATGGAAGAGACTGATGTTGGAAACAGCTGATTCTTCATAATAACCAAATGTGCAATCGGCAGCGACACATTTTCCTAATCTGTATCTACATTGAGGATACACGAGGACTAAATTTTTGTGTTAATTCTCTACAGTTTGTATGCTGAAAAATATTAGTGGATGCATTTTTTGGATTAGAAGTTTCATTCAGTTTTGAATTACTTGTTTCGTTGATTCTTAACCCATTATTTCCCATGGATAAATCTTTTTTAAGTCTGTGCAAGGGATAGTTACTCGTTGCATGGGAAAGCAAATTGGCATTCCAACCTCAGTTTCTATGATCACTTCAACGACAAAATTAAAGAAGGCATTTGTTTCTGTGAGAAGTCATATGGCGAGGGTCCACATTGACATCCCATCTTGGGCCATATGTTCAACTCCTTTTAAATACGTCACAATTTCACTTTATTTTTATATAATTTCTCTTATTGCCTTCACTTCAGAATAAGGTGGAACTTTACTATTTTTCTTTCTCAGCACCTTTGGTACTCTGGAAATAATAGTTCCTTAAAAAGAAGTTTTTATATTGCTAAAGAAAACAAACACCCATATTATACATAAAGAATCGAATTTACAGTGCTTATTAATTATAGTTAATTCCCTGTACTTAAGGCTGTTTAAATGAATCTAATAAGTGGAAGAACTAAGCATGAAACTGCGAAAAGCAACGTGGCACTAAACGAATAAAAAAATTGGTTTGGAAAATGATATACAGAATTGGATGTTACTCCTTGCAGAGAGTGCACAGATTCTGTAATCCATGTAACATCCCAACCACCCATTTTTCAGTACCTGCACATGCATTCCTTAACTGATCCATTCCAATGGGTTGAATTGCCTGCATGCGTGCTGCATCTATATATACAAAAGGTTATGAATTTTTAACATCCGAAATTTCCAAATATCAGAGTAAGAAACTCACTATATTTTTCTTTATTTCTTTTAGTTAATCTATTTATATCACTTTAATTTTAAATAAATTATTTAATTTTCACTTTAATACAAGATATTTATTTTATTTTTTTGGTGAAATCTAATACAAGTTTCTATGCAAGAATTGCTATTCTCTCTTTAATGTTTTTAAGCAACTCATAAGAATCGTTTATAAACAACTCTTGTAAATTACTCCATTTAAATTTATTTATAAGTGAAAAAATGTTTAATTTTTTCACTATTATATAAGTAAATTTTAACAATGTCAACTTTATTTAATATTTTTAATCTAAAAATAATGTAATAAAAGGGAACACTATCTACAATAAATGTAATTAAATATATTTTATGAACTAGTGTATATTTTATACGAAATTGTAAAAATTAAATATATTTAATCAACTTTTTAATATGTGTGAAATTAGTTTTTTTTTACTGATATA